AAAGCAGTATAGCAAAGCGTTAAGCGCACGGACCGAATCAGTTGGCGTTGTTGTTGTTGCATTTGTTTTTCTTACCATTGCTTTGCTATTAGTGTTGTCGTTGTAGTTGTTGTGCTTGCTTTGAGGAATTTTGTATTTTGGTAAATGGATTTAAGTATTTTGCATGTTGTAGTAATGAAAATGACATTTATTTAAATAAATAAATATGCTCTTTAATAATTTTTGTAAATGCATTGGCTTGTTTGTTGTTAATATATCTGCTGCACACTTATAGTTGACACAACACATTCGTACCAATATTAATGCCTTTTAATTTTGTGAGCATAAATAATTTTGCAAACGCAGACAGAAATTTGCAACGATAACACTTTTTAATTATTTTTTAATGAAGTAGCGGCCATTGAATAAAAAACGACATTTATTAAAAAACTACTTTATTTTATTCATGAATTTATTTGCGTTTAAAGTAAATTTATTGCCGGCCCATCCACCACCACCACCACCACGATCCAATGCATTTATATGTTCAGCCCGCGGGTATGCAACACAAATTTTCACTTTCCGTTTTAAATAATCCGCACACTGCCCATCACAGTAATAGTACGAGTATGAGCATAATTGCCATGTTAATGCGATTGTAAACGTATCCAATAAATCATCGTCTACGGCAATATGCTGAGCACGAGCTTCTGATTTGCAACGAAAGACAACATAACTGCTTATTATTAACTATAATGCAAATAGTTCAGATGGGCATATACAGGGAGAGGGTTAGAAAGTGAAGTAGCGGAGCACGCTAATAATTTCCATTACCCATCATCGAATTTCAATTTCGCTACAATAATAGAAGGTTTTATTAGTTAATTGCATTCTACTCATATTTTTGGGTATATGTTAGATCTGCTCTGCGTTGCTCAGAAATAATTTCGGTGAGGGTTAGAATTTTAGATTTGATTTTAAATCAATATACTTGTACTAGAACTGCCCCTGCTTCGTACGGTTATTTTTACAAAAATTTTAAAAATTATACTTTTTATAACACACACTCAACACACATAAACCCTTTTTTTTGCTATGAGTTACTAAGAAGGAGTAAAATTTATTTTGGATATTATTATTTTAATGGTTTTTTGTTCGTTTTTAGATTTTTTGTTATTCTTTCTCCTTTCCTCTGACCTAAGGTTCTCTGTTAAAGATATGTGATGTTTTATTTTGTGGTAGCAAAATAAATAGAATTTCAGGAGCTCCGACCCGTGATAGGTCAACATACCGTAAAACATTGCTTTCGTATGTCGATCCTTACTAATTCGAAGGCTTGGCCTGGGGACTACCGGAAATTGAAGCCTTATAAATGATCAAATGGGATCATCGATATCCTCGGTATCCTCGTTATATGAGTTAGTTGACCAGTAGCTAGGCCGTTGCTATTAGTTGCTACACTTAAATTGTCCTGCAATTCCTTAATAAGCAGCCTCGTCCCATTGCACATGCTTGCAAGGCTTTAATTTCTCAAAAGCATGATTAAAATTCAGAATTTTACCGTTAATTCATGTGGCGGCAGTCCACATGGGTTTAGTGAATTTAAATGTCCTCAATATTAATCACGGTGTCGATTGATTTGTAATCTTTAATTTGGCGGGGGCTTTTGAATAATATTGCTTTAATACTTAAAGTGACAATGTTTCGAGGATGATTATGAACTAACAGCATGATGCTATCCAGGAGTTTTTTAAGGTAATTTTTTTAGCCCATGTTAACCGTCGATAGTGTAGCTTCCCAACAGCGAAAGATTCCATTAAATCGGTCCAGTAGATTCGGAGCATTTTCAATTCAAACAAACAATCAAATCTTTCCTTTTTATAACATTAGTATACATTATTTAAGCTTAATAATTAATAATTCGAATAAGTTAATGTAACTTTACCGCCTCCTCACTTTTAAAGCCATCAACAGTGCTCTTATGTTATTTTTCATTTATATGTAAATTTCTTTGGCCTTTTAAATTAAAATATGAGCTCAAACAAGCCAGAAAACTTACATTTCCAATTGTGATATAAGCGTCAATTCGATTTATTTATATATTTAATAAATCAACAAATTGCACTGTCGATACAGATTACTCTATGATATTTTAAAATAAATATATTAAATCATATAATTATATAATTTCACCTTAAAAAGGCCTCAAAAATAACAATGTCTATAAATGTCTTCAACACGTTGGGTGAATTTTAATTGTTATTTAGCCAGCTATGCCCCCGACAGCTAAATGCGGTCAGAGACATTATAAGCTTTAGAATCTAAGAAAAATATATATATTAGACTTAATTCTACTTAAGAGCTATCTAGACGAAGTAAGAAGCAGAACAAAAAGGTGTGGGAATAGCATAGCATAACAACCGTAAGTGGTCAGAGGTTTTAACGGAGATAAATGTAAAGGATATCTTTTATAGAATAAAGAGAGAGACAGAGAGGGAGAGTTCTGTCTATTTACTTTCGAATGTGAAAGATCATTAAATTTAGAAAAAATTACCCAAAAACGCTAAACGGATAAATGAAAAATATTTTCTTGTTGGTCTAAAAGGAACTGAAAAACTAAGTGGATGTAAGACGGCCGGAGAAGGTATGAAGAAGATGAAGATCCTTATGAGTTTATAACTTGCGGTCCCTGCGGAATAGACTAAGACTGTCTCGATTTGGTGTCCAGTGATCTAATTGCAACAATACACATGTTGTATAGTTTTAATTTTTTAACAGCACAAAACCAATTCGCGCTCTTCAACTTAAGTCTCAGTGCGCTTGCCACATACCGACCACAAGTCACGTGCTCGCTGCATCCACAGACAGTAAAATATAAAATGGTGAACTTCGCTTCGACGCCAGTCTCGTTAATACTTAACAAAAAATCACGCATTAGCTGCAGGTTTGCACTTAAAGTCATAAATTTATTTAAATATAACTCACACATAAACGCATAAGCCGCACACGTGTGCTTCGCCACCGTTGCCGCTGACTACGCTTTAAAGAAAATATATATTAACTTCATTTTGAGCACAAACACACACGCACGGCACGGACTTACATACACACATACAATAAGTCGCTCCCATATGCAGTCATGCAGTCCAGGCATAACTCATACGCACCGTGTGCGCACACTGTGCAACAACAACAGCACTTAAACAGGCATATCACTGACGCAAAGCGAAGAAAAGCGCGCGCACAGGGTGAGGTGCTTGTAAAATGGCAGCCAAGAGAATTTTAAATTACGCTTTTGAGTGGCGGCTGCAACGCCGAAAAGCAGCAATGGGAATGCAGAACCAGCAAGCCGAAGCAGCAGCAGCAAGCCGTGTATTCGTTTTTTCCATGCATTTAATTGCAAATGAAGCAACATACAATACATACACTCACATATACACATATACACATACATATACACATACACACAAGCATGCACAAACGCTGACTATGCCAATTGCAGCAACAGCCTCAATAGCAACAGCAACAGCAACAGCCACGATGACTGCACTCCAACTTGGCTGGCAACTGTAAATGACGTTTAATCAAACTTGTTGAAATTGATAGCATTGTTTGTACGCATAAATTGCATAATGCATTTTAAAGTGCGCTAAATGTGTTAATTAAAGCCCGCCTGCAACATCCCAAGACTGTCAGCCATCTCAGGCGTCTCCTACATGAGTTTGCTTTTACACAAGCGCTGCCTCTGTTGCCATTGCCTTGTTGTCGCATCTTCAGGGCACAGAAAAGTAGAACCGAATGCGAATCCTAACACATAAAACACATTTCACACGCCACTGTGAACACTTGAACTATGAGATTATTTTCAATTTGATTTTAGTCCATCATAACATATCGTATTGTGGACAGTTAGACATTGCACTCTATCGTAAATTAAAAGATAATAATTAGAGTCTTCATGTTCGGTTACTAATCAACTCGCATAATATTTGTGTAATTTTAATTTAAATTCAAGAGAGTATTTTATCAAGTTTCATGTGCATCGACGCTTCTTTTCAGCTTGAAGTTTCTATGTGAAAATTGATATGAGAAAGCACCAAGGCGCAGCGCACTGACTCAACGAAATTGACTTCTTCACACAATAGGAAACCATTTTGTAGAAGCCATTTCTAATTGTTCTAATGGCTACTCAAAAGACAGCAAATTTCGTTGCATTTAACTTATTTTGAAAATGAACATGGAATATTATTAAGCAGTTCAACAGTTAAACACATGATTCCATGCATGATTCATCTAACAAACAAATTAAAGCAAAACACATAATAGGGATAGTGTTTGTTTATTTTTCTCGTTCTTATAAACCAAAAAGTACATAGTTATCTGGCAATTAACATGAAGATGCAGGTAAAATTTCTGCACGAAATGAAAAACATTGCTATGGTTTTGGTTGTCATTTTGACAAAATTTTTGTTTTTCTCGGCATTCCAATGTCAACATTTATACAACATTTTTTGTTCCTTTTTATACGAGCCGCCTTTAAATTAATTAGGAATACCTTAAAAGAGTGTAAAATAACAGCTTGAAATGCAACTATCGTGCTTGAAATGGGACCCATATCTTTACTGCAAAGAATGTTTAAGCTTAGGGCCAGTAATAACTTTTAAAATTGGTTTCCTATGTTCGGCTATTTGCGCTCGTAATTTAAAAAATAAATATAATTGTTGGTTCTGGTTTAAAAAATAAATTTATTTGTAATATGCAGAGATGCAATTTATTTATTCGGAATTTCTCCATTAATCAAAGAACCCCCTTCCAGGAAGGAATTTAAAAGCATCTGGAGAAGTAGAGGACTCGAAGATGTATGCTGTGGACCAAATAAGCCACCATCTGTGGCACCTCTCGAAATAGATCTCTGAGATTATTTAAATAAAAGTATATTTTCATTGGAACTTGCAGAAGTTTTCCTTGTTCTCCTTTTCTTTCAAAAATTAGTAATATTACCAATCAGTCATCATAACCATTCACCAGAGACTAATCTTCAAACGGCAATCACAATTCAATATCTCTACCACATTAGCTAAAAATTTGGATAGCTCGGATTTTAAAATTTAAAATGTAAAAAACATTAAAATACTTTAAGATTTTCATATGGCGAATTGTCTATCAATATTTATACTCTATACATACAATGTACAAGAGTATATTAGGTTTGCGGGAGCAGACCCTGGGGTATAAGTATAATATTCTTGATCAGCATGACGAGACGAGTCGATCTAGCCCTGTCTGTCTGTCCGTCTGTCCGTATGAACACCTGGATCTCAGAGACTACAAGAGGTAGAGACACCAAACTTTGCACAAAGATGCGTTATGTGTGTACGTTTGTTTTATTTTTCCCCCCACTTTCCCCCTATGGGTGTTTTCCTGATTTTCCATTCGTATAATCGCCTATATCTCGGAGACTATAAGAGCTAGGGTCACCAAAATTTATATGAATACGCAAAAAATGTGGATTTTGAATATTCCCCTCCCCTCTCTAACTCCCGTAATTCTCGGAATTTCAAACTCAAATTTAGGAAATACCCCCAGTTAGTGATTATGTGTCCGTATGCTAAGTTTCATCATGATAGACCGATTTAAAAAGTAGTTACAGCCATAAATATATTAGCTGCCCAAGCGCTGCCCGCAACTGTTGTTTATGTTGGTGCTTTGGTTGACTGCAAACATGTTCACAAAGGCACGAATAGACGTGCATAGACATTCATACACTCAAAAAATTTTTATTTGTTTTTTATTATCAGTAAAAATTTGAAATTCGTGCAAATTTGTGTCAGTCGATACATTAGTTTAAAGGGAAATAATCACGATAATAAAACTTGTTACAAAATATTTATACATGATTTTAATTTTTAATATTGTCTATATTCTGTTGTCATATAAAACTCATAAATCGAGTGTCTACTGTACTTATTTTACAGCATGGAACCCCAGTTGTCGTTGTTGCTGTTGTTGTTGGTCATGCTTTATCAAAAATTTCGAGAACAACGATCATAAATAAATAAGCAAACGCTTAAAATGTTGCTCCACCTTGTGCCAAGCAAATGCATTAGAAAATGTTTAATTTGTTTTGCACGCACAGTGAACGGAGAGCGTGGTGAATGCTGTGGCAGCCGTCACAAGTTGCACACACACTTCTCGTACATGGCTGTGGCAAGCAATAAAATAAAGTCTTAGCAGGCGGACGCTTCACACGCTTTTGCTAACTACAGGCATTCCATGTTACCCCTACGTTCCCCTCTCTATTTCCTTGGCCACGCTCTCGCACGAACATGCAGCATTTAATTTGTTGTGCAACAAATTAGCATTAATTTTCATTAGGATTTAAACTTGGCGCTTGCTGTTTTTTGTCTGCCTCTCCAACTTGTACTTTGTGCGGTGCGGTGTGGTGTGGTGTGGTGTGTGCGGAATTTGTTGTTTGTTTTTAATTATAAATATTTATTTTACTTTGCTGCAACAAAACAAACAACTTTAAAACCAAACAGCGTTGCACAGAAAATGCAGAAGCTAAAAAAATAATAGCATACAACTGTGCGCAGCAACATTCAATTAATGCGTGTGTAGAAAGCAGCGTTGTGTCGACGCCGGTAATCATTCTCAACATCGTCATCATCATCAGCATAATGTTGGTGGACTCTGGAGCTGACCATTGCATCAGAGTCACCATCACCATCACCCTCACGCCTACCGCCACCGCCGCCGCCAGCATCACCATCACTGCCCCTTTGCCGCACATTATCCAAGTAAGAGCTCACGCCCGAATGAGCGCCCAACGAAGCTGAAGACCACGGTGCGGATGAGTAACGTTTGTTGCTCACATGCGAGTCGCCTCTGTAAGACCAAGGATAGCCCGGGTCTGTGTAATGATGCCTGTCGGGGTAGTTGCTATAGTGGTGCTGGTAGTAATCAGTGGGACGCTGTTGGTCAATATGTGTGCGATTAGGATAGAAATCGGCGCCACTATGGGTGGATGTTGCATGGACATCGGATTGCGATTGCGATTGGGATTGGGAATAAGGTGTGCGTTGCCCGTAATTATAATCATCGTCATCGTGTTGCGCATAATGATTATAAGCTTGCGCTGGTTTGCTGTGCTGCTGCTGCTTATTAGGGCTGTATGGCGATTGCAAAGTCACGGCAGGCGTTACAATGGGCACAGCGGGCGCTGCGCTGGCCAATGGCGTCAATGCAGCCCCCTCCATTGTCTCTGACGCCAGCCAAGACGAAGTGGCGCTCGATGCCGTTGAAGAGGAGCTTTGTTCGCGTGAGTTCATTTCAGCTAATTTATTGAAACGATTGCGGCCGTTTGTGGCCGTTAGAACCATGACGGTGGGATTCATGGTGGCCATGTGATCCTTGATGCAGTTCTGCAACAAATTCACAAAGAAGAAGAACGAGAGTAACGTTAGCGACGACATCACAGCCGAGGCGCTCTTCTTCTTGTTGTTGTTGTTCTTGCTCTTCTTCATAGCTGCAGGCGGCTTGCCACCGGAGCTATGGTATTGTGGTGGCGGTCCATAATGTGGCAGAGGTGGTGGCGGATATGCTGGCCCACTGCTGCCGCTGCTTGACGGCTGATAGGAGGAGTAGCTGCCCGAGGCTGAGTGCGGCGACTGATGCAGCTCATACTCCACAGATGGATCCATTCTGCCGTGTTTAAAGTTGCATTAGAATGGTTACCAGTTTTGTGTGGGCAGATGTTAGAGATGGGCGCGTGATCGTTGGGATCACGAAATTGAAGGTCTCGATGTTCATTGAGAGACATAAAAATTGGGCTGAATGAAAAGTGTTCCTTATCAATTAATTCATATTATTTTTCACTTCAAAATTTTGGGAAAATATGTTTAAATATCCACAGAATAAATTAAAATCGAACACAAACACCTCAAGAAACTGTTACTGCTCTACAAAATGAAAATGATCTTTTTGGAGAGTTGTTCAACGATCCTTTAGAACGATTTAAATCGAATCCAACAAACTTTTTAATTATAACCCGCAATTCTGATAATATAAACCTAAAATTGTATCTTTTACCAATCGCTCTCTAAACGAATAGAACAAATTATACATATTTTTTAAATCCCCCGACTTTATAATGTTTTTAAGTTGAAAATATTTATTATAATTACTCCATATTAGAATATGTCGTGCTCTATATTGAAAATTTCATCTGGAATCAAACATTTTTTTTAAATTTCTCACGAGCTATTGTTTCACGCGCCCATCTCTACGTACAGAATGTCGGAACACAATACTCACGCATAGCCCGAGTGGGCGCTTGCGGCGCTCGCGTAAGCGCCGTTGTGGTTGTTACTGCCAGCGGCCTGAAGGGGATGACCATGCCCATACCCATAATGCGGCATCTGCTGAGGCCAGAGGTGGTGGGCGCGTTGTATTTGACCGTGGCTGCAAAGAGACCAGTGGCGCAGAGTTGAGAGTAAGTGCAGCAAAATGCGCGCGGCCGAGCTGCCTTTGGATGATGGTTTTGCTGGCACACATAAACATGGCTAAGTGCTTGGGTCGCTCAGCCACAGGTAAGCACGGGCATGCACTTGCTTTGTCCCGCTCTGTCTATCCGTCTGTCCACTTGTTCGTCTGTCCGTCTTTTGGCTTGTTTATGCATTCAATATGACGCTGGCCGCGCACACACAAAAAAAGCCATCAGTGTCAGGCGACGCATAAATTTCGTTGTCGTTGCTTTTGCTTACGCATAATTATTTCCGGAAATGGCTGCCAACAGCGGATGTTGTTGCTGTTGTTGTCTCTGAAGCTGCTGCTGCTGTTGAAAATTCTGCTGATATTGCATATTCCCAAAGGACATTTTGCCGTTGACGTTTGATTTCCAATTTTATATACTCTAATTGATTTCCGGTCTTCACAATGTTGATTTCGTGGTGGCTGTATCTGCAATTTATATGGTTTATTAAATAAATCCTTAAACAACAATTGTAGACCACATTTATCATTAGCCGAATGCCTACTCCTTAATACAGAACCAGTGCCAGAATCGTTGCTAAGGACATTTGCAGCATTGTCATATTTCTCGTATCTATGAAGAATGCGTTTTTAATACAAACATATGATGCAAATATTTGAATGCTCAAGAATAAAAGTGTATATAAAAGAATTTAATGGAGCCTGCCATGCAACTTTTCTGTTTCTTAAATACATTATAAATAAATTGTGGATATTTTCATGCTATCATTATACACGTATATTGATTTTCTTTATTTAATTTCTATACAAGTATAAAGTCAGAAATATGTGTCAAATTTTGAACTTTTGCAGAGCTAGAAGTCATCTGAATGGAATGCCATTATCACCAATCGCTAATTTTAAAGAATTATCTTACTGCTAGGAACACTTTTTAACTAAAACTGTTTCCAACAACTTCACATATTCCCAATCCGCTTAAAGAACTCAAAAAGGTTGTTTTTTGAATTTGAAGGTTTTTTTTAAACCACCAGCTTCATTTTTATGTGCTTTCGGTCTTGCAGCGAATAAATGTTAGAATATTTATTAGATGTTATTTTCTTCCCTCTTATGTTTAATGTGCAAATTCCAGTTAGTTTAAAGTTGTATCCATATTCGTATAGAAATGAGAAAAAAACAGCGCACAGCATCAAGAGCGCTTTGTGTTGTGGAGTGAATTTTGTTTGCGGTACGCACAAGCGAAATGCCAAGTTGAAGTAAATTTTGGCTCAACTACTTTGTATGCAAAAGACTAAAGTAAGATAACTAGCTGCAACTGTTGGCAACAAGCAGTGGCAGATGCAACCGCAAGTGACAATGTCGCTTAGGCAACTGGAACTGCAAAAGCCTTGGCCAGACACTTGGCAGGCAGCTATTAACGGCAACACGAACGGGCGAACTCGTACTGGCGACTGTTGCAACTACCTGTGACTGCTTGTCATTGTCAGTTGTTAAGTGAGTTTGGCTTCAGTTGCACCGCCGTTGCATGCACCCAACCAACCACCCATCCTTCCATTCACCCGCTCGACCTTAACACTTACAAACTGACAATTGCTTGCAAAGTGTTTTGCGGTGCGACCAACTGACATACACCTGCATTGGAGCGTTTCATGCGGCGCATTTTGGCCAGGCAGACAATTAGTGCACGACGACGACGACGATGACGACGACGATGATGATGGCGACAAAGTGAGGCATGCAACCTACCTCCGAAACGAGACGAGACGACACGCCGTGCCACGCCACAGCACCTCCACACCAGGGCTCCCTTCATTCAACATTCCCATTCATTGTTGTCAGCCAAACGTTGAGTGTTAATGACTGTGCAGTCGGCTGCTTTATTGCATTAAAAGCGCTGCAACGTTATGCACCAGAAATTGTCATAATTGTGCCATGCCCGGGCATGCATGCGGCCTTTTTGCCCAAAAATGATGACGACGATCAGACAACGATGAGAAGACAATGGCGATGACATCGCCAGCACTTCGCCAGAATTCGCCAGCATTATTGAAAATTTCTGTCGCGTCGGCTTGTGCGACAAATGTGCTTGTGGTTTTTGTGGCAGATGCAAGTGGCAACTTGTAAGAGCAAACGCGACAGTAAAGACAACAACTTCATACTCGTATGTATCTGGTTGCAAGATTTATTGTCTGTGCTAATAGTCGACTGCCAAAAAGGGCAAGAGGACGCGCCGCGCAGCAAACAGGAAGGCATTAGACTGCAATAACAAATATTTAACATTTCCGCAGCGACAACAAAGTCAAAAGCATATAATAATAAATTGTCAACTGTTGGCTCTGCCACACGTTGCACAATTGCGCTTGCCACTCGCGCGCTTTGTTACGCTTTGATTTGTCGTGCAACCCCCCTCGGGCTGCCCGAGCAACACAAAAAACTAAGCAAAGCCAAGAAAAAGACAAATTTTGCTGATATCTTCAAAAATAACACAACGAAGCAGAGCAAATCAAAAAGTCAAATGCTCTAAGGGTTGCCAAAGCATATGTGTGCACGAGTATATGGCTTTCAATTTTGGTGGTTTGGGCCCGACTGGCGCCATTGTCAACATAATTCAAGCCGCCTTACTGGGGCTAGACTCAATAGTAAGTAAGTACAAGTAGCTCTGCATTTTTTATATACTCTGCTACATGTCAAGAAATTCAAACGGGGAGTATATAGCATTTTAAATCTTAAAGACTTAATCTTTAAATAAACAGTATCATGTTCATTTTCTCAAAGTAGATAATTCTTGAAGCATACAGTTGATACTTCCACCCAACATAGTAGCTTAAGGTAAAGGTAGATTTTATCTCTGGTGTTACTGCTGTGATTATTGAAAATACTTGAATACGATGTTTTATTTTGTTTTTTTTTATTATTATTATAAGCAGTTGACTTTCAATCCTCATTTGGATTTTAATTCTGTGTTCTCTACGTCAGGTAAATATGCGCTTTAAGAAACAACTCAAGAAAAACAACACGAAAATCAAAATAAATCAAAAAGCAACTTGGCAGCTGAGCTCCCAAGAATATAAATAACTTTAAACATTGTACTTTCGGTAGCCTTCTCCAATTCGATTCGAAACACGAAGCTTCAAGAACCATATTGCACATTCATTTTTGTTGCATACTTTCAGGCGGCTCTATCATAAACGATTGCTGTTTTTTTTATTTTAAATTTTGTAGCAGCGATAATGCTTTCCACCATTCTTTTCGGGCCCTTTTAATTTTCCGCAATTAAAGTTGAGACACAGAAAAAATAAATAAAAAATTAATTAAAATCTAAAAATACATACACTACATACTATTCAAGGAAAAAGCGTACAACTATAAACATGAAAGGCATTCTTATATTTTAAGTTGCAGTTATCTTTATTGTTATCTCTATCAACAGCACTATTTGTTGATTTATTAAAAATAAATAAATAATACAGTCGCCGGATTATAATGCAGCTTTAATATGAATATTATTGTAACTATAAATTCCTTTTTCTATAACAATAATATACTTTTAAAACTTTTATGGAATACAATAAAAGCCTATTTAAATTTTGTTTTTTTAAATTGAGTTCAATCTGAAGCAATTTCTGTTGTTTTCGCTGCGTCATCAACTTAGGTCTTAATGAGTAGTCTTCTGCTTAGTAATGCTTATTGTATTTCTCCACCAAATGATTGTTGGAGTTGTTCATTCCTCTATCCTAATATATTAGATTATTTTTTACCCTCCGAAGCCACTAACTTTTTGGCTCATTTCTTAACAGATACTAAACCGACTACATCCTGCATGAACTTATTGTATAATGTAGTTTCTCACCTGCTCTCAATCGCGCTCTTCTCCTCACTGTTTCCAAATAACTCCGATAGAATTCCTGACCGTTATGGATGTGAGTAGAGACATAGCCCAACCTTTTGGCCCAGATTTTAGCAATTTACAGTTGAATCTCCGACTGCTGGCTTATAAATCTTTTTTTTTTGTGTCGTCATAGTCTTGGTATAAGAGATAAGTCTCCTTGGAAGTTGTAGATGGCATCTGTTATTTATTTTTATGCACATATTTCAATATTTGTATAAGCTTTTAACGCCCGCCCAACTGGCCAGTCCCCAAAAATGTAATGACTGGAAAATAGGGCATTTAAGATGAGTGCGTGCGGACTGTTGGCCTAAGACGTGCGCGCAAAAAGTTGTCTTGTTTATGGGAATGTCTATGTCTGTTTAGTCAGGGGGTGGAGGCTTGACGCGCACATTAATTGCTGTGATTAACACGTACACGCATTAAATTATAGCAGAGAGAAGAAAGGTGCGGGCTCAGTTCTAGACACGTATTGGCACATCAATTAAAAATGAAAAGACACAACATGCACAATGCATATGTAATTGTCCTGATGTTCATAATTGCAGCAGCCACTCCGTATGGGCGTGCAAGGGTGGGTAGGAATGGGTGTGTTTGTTCGAATGGTCGGGTGGTCTGGTCTGGTCATAAATTAAGGAGCATAAATCATTTAACTACATTAAGGCCAAAAGGCTTGCAAGCTGCGAGCTTTTGTTCGTGTTTCGGCCGCCAAATACAAACGCAATGAAACAAAAATAAGAACTTGTTAAGGCTACCAAGAGCAAGATGCTCAACTTTGGTTACTAAGTACGTGCCTCGACAGTTGCCGCCCAAGGCTGGCTGGCCTAAGACATAGCTCGGAGCAGCTGCTCATCCACTACACAGTGTCAAGTGTAAAGAAGAACTACTAATCAGCAGTTAATTCTTATCTTTAATTAAGTGCACGTTCCCTTCAATGCCGCCAATGCCGCTAGGACCTTTGTCCTTCGTGCCTGCCCTACGAGCCGTCTGCGTTTGTGGCAGCAACGTCTAATAGCGCGTGAGGGTGCAAATGCGGGTGCAAGTGGCAGTGCGGGATACTCATTTTTGTTTTTTTGTTTATTTTTTTATTTTTTTGGGGGGGTTGCTCAACACTTTTGTTGTTGGTTTTTTCTTATAATTTTTTGTTGCTGCTTTTGTCGCCTTGGTCCTGGACAAAGGCCGTCCTCGCCGTTGGTTTTGTTTAACTTGCTTTGTCGCTGGTCAATTTAATGAAATAATCTAAGCAAACATTGTTGAAAATTAAGCAGTTTCCTTTCCTCTTTCTGTTTGTGCGCTGCGAGCTCTGTGTGTGTGTGTTTAGTCTCTATTTGAAATTAAAAATGTAATGCGTTTTTGCACATAATTAAATGTGGACTTTTGGGGTTGTAGTGCCGCGAATTTCCGGCCAATTAAAAAGGGCATGCAACAATGGCCAAGGCGCTCATGCATGGCTTATCAGTTAAGTCGAAGATAGAAAAAAAGGGTTGCTAATGAGGTGAACA